AAACTTTATTACTGGAATATTACTGGAACGGTGGTAGAGCCCTGCAGCAGTTTTTTGCTGTTGCACGTATGGGCCGGCTCGAGCCGGGTTGGTACCACGACCTCACAGAATACCGGCGTGAAGTAGAGGCTCTGCTTCTGCGTTTCGTCTGGTGAGTGCAGGTGGCCGGAGGCCCAATTCCCCCCCCCCCCCCCCCCATCAACATGGTAGCGGAATTAGACAATAGACTACCCCAGGAGGGTACCAGTACCCCTGGAGAATCCCTCGCTGAGCATCCACGACCATGTTATTCCAATCCTGAGCGTGGGTGCTCAGGCTGCCCCGCGTATTCTGGGGGGGGCAAAATTCCGCTCAAAAACAAAACTGCTCGGGGCAAGCTGAGCAACAATACCAAGGCGACCCCTGCCACGCTATCCGTGAATTTCTGCAACATCAGGGGACTTCACTCTAACCTAAACGCCGTCCACTACCATCTCGAGACGGCGAAGCCGGCCTTGCTCTTTTTGACCGAGACGCAGGTTTCCTCTCCGACTGATATTTCGTATCTCTCCTACCCGGGGTACAAATTGGAGCACTCCTTTGTGCCTCGGGCTGGAGTTTGCGTGTATGTTAGAGAGGACATCTGTTCTCGACGCCTCGGCAGTCTTGAAGGTTCGGACCTGTCCATCCTTTGGCTACGCGTAGACAGCGACGACCATCCGCGCGTCTACGGGTGCCTCTATAGGTCCCATAGCGGTAATGCCGAAACAGACCGACTCATCGACCACGTCCAAATGGCTACAGATTCCTTGCTACAACAGGTCCCATCCGCAGAGATCGTGATCCTTGGCGATTTTAACGCCCACCATGCCGAATGGCTCGGTTCACGTTTAACCGATCATGCGGGGAGATCTGTTTATGACTTTGCCTTGGCATATGGTCTGACACAACTGGTTACTTCGCCTACGCGGATTCCAGATGTGGAGGATCATACACCTTCCCTGTTGGACCTTCTGCTGACCTCTCATCCGGACGGATATCAGGTTTCCGTCGATGCCCCTCTCGGCTCTTCGGACCATTGTCTGATCCGGAGTATGGTGCCACTCACGCTCCCTTCGCGGTTGCGTTCTGCAGGTTGCCGCCGTGTTTGGCATTACAGGTCGGCGGATTGGGACGGAATGCGGTCTTTCTTTGCATCCTACCCATGGGGGCGGGTTTGCTTCTCGCCGGATGATCCCAGTGCTGTTGCTGACTCTGTCACTGATGTGGTGCTACAGGGAATGGAACTATTTATTCCATCATCTGTGGTACCCATCGGAGGCAGATCTCAGCCTTGGTTTGGTCGCTCCTGTAAGACTGCATTGCGCAGTAAGCAGGAGTGTTATCAAGCCTGGGCTGCGGCTTCGGTGACTCGGGATGTAAACACCAGCACACTTAAAAAGAAGTATAACTTCGCCTCCAGGTCCTTCAAAAGAGTTATTGCCAAGGCAAAGTCAGAGCACATAGGCAGAATTGGCGAGAAACTAGTTCGCCTTCCTTCGGGAACTCGTGCATTCTGGTCTCTCGCCAAGGCTGTCCAAGGGAATTTCTGTAAGCCATCACTACCATCTCTGCACAGGGAGGACGACTCACTGGCCCAAGACGCAAAAGACAAAGCCGACCTTTTAGGCTCCCTTTTTGCGTCCAACTCGACTCTTGATGACGGGGGGAAAATACCGCCGACCATCCCGCGGTGTGAGTGCTCCATGCCGGATGTGCTATTCTCACAGCGCTCAGTTCGCAAAGCACTTCTCTCCCTGGACATCCAGAAGTCGAGTGGGCCTGACGGAATCCCCCCAATTGTGCTGAGGACGTGTGCTCCGGAGTTGGCACCGGTCCTAACGCGTCTTTTCCGGTACTCCTACTCCCAAGGCGTAGTCCCGAATTCATGGAAGACAGCTTTTGTCCACCCGATCCCTAAAAAAGGCGACCGCTCAGACCCGTCCAACTATAGGCCTATCGCGATCACCTCCTTGTTCTCCAAAATAATGGAATCCATTATTAACTGCCAGCTCATCCGGTACCTTGAGGATCACCAGCTGATTAGTGACCGCCAATACGGTTTTCGTCGGTGTCGATCAGCTGGTGATCTTCTGGTCTACCTGACCCATAGATGGGCGAAGGCAGTAGAGTCCAAGGGGGAGGCGTTGGCCGTTAGTCTGGACATTGCGAAGGCCTTTGATCGGGTTTGGCACAAAGCGCTTCTTTCGAAGCTGCCTTCCTATGGGCTTCCCGAGAAATTGTGCAATTGGATCACCAGCTTTCTTGCAGATCGGAGCATCAAGGTCGTTGTAGACGGTGCATGTTCTGACTACAAGCCTATTAACGCTGGTGTTCCACAAGGCTGTGTGCTATCACCAACGCTGTTTCTTCTGCATATCAATGATATGTTGCTAACTGGTAACATTCATTGCTATGCGGATGACAGCACTGGTGATGCTCTATACACCGGCCGGGCCAATATTTCTCGGGAAAACGTCGCCGAGTACCGGAACAAACTTGTGTCTGAAGTCGAGTCTTTGCTGGACAAAGTCTCGGATTGGGGGCGACTAAATCTAGTCCAGTTCAATCCCCAGAAGACACAAGTTTGCGCGTTTACCGCTAAAAAGAACCCCTTTGTCGTATCTCCTCAGTTTCAAGGCACTCCCCTTCTTGCCTCAGCCAGTATCGGTATCCTCGGAGTCGACATATCGAGTGACGTGCAGTTTCGTGGTCACTTGGAAGAGAAGGCCAAATTGGCCTCTAAAAAGCTTGGCGTGCTCAGCAGAGCGGGACAGTATTTCATGCCGGCACACCGCCTGCAACTTTACAAGGCGCAGGTTCGGCCTCACATGGAATACTGTTCCCATCTCTGGGCAGGGGCTCCCCAGTGCCAGCTCCTTCCACTTGACCGCATCCAGCGCAGAGCGGCTCGAATCGCCGACGACCGAGCCCTTTCCGATCGGCTCGATTCATTGGCACTGCGAAGAGATGTTGCATCTCTTTGCATTTTCTTTCGCATCTACCATGGGGAGTGCTCTGAGGAATTGTTCGGATTAATCCCAGCCGCCAAATTTCACGAACGCACATCGCGGCAGAACTCCCGATACCATCCACACCATCTGGATGATTGGCGGTCCACCACTGTGCGATTTAGAAGATGTTTTCTTCCTCGCACAACTTCCTTGTGGAATAGTTTACCACCAGGGATTTTTCCGGACCGATACGACTTAGGGACCTTCAAGAAAAGAGCCTACTCCTTTTTAAAAGGCCGGCAACGCATCTGCAATTCCCCTGGTGTTGCGGTTGTTCATGGGCGGCGGTAGTCACTTACCATCAGGTGAGCCGCATGCTCGTTTGCCCCCTCTCCTATAAAAAAAAAAAAAAATAATAAAAATTCGATTGGATTCGATCTGACAACACATTCATACTACAATTTAAGAATAACGATAATAATCAACAAATAAACGAATTTAAGACTTGGAAAAAAAAAATGGAACGCATTTCTATAACTCATTGATAAGTGTCCTATTCCCATCGATCACTAATAAAAAAACTAGATACACAATCTCACGCTAAAGTTCTCTAAAAACTGTCGCCAATTGTTTTGACGTAATTCTAGTTGAAATAAATATATGTACATTAATGTAAATTCAACCATAAATGCATTGCCAACCTCGATGAACCGGAGACCCTTTTTATTGGAAAGGAGGCATTACATCTTAGTCCTCACGGGTGACAACGCATCTGCATTTTGATTCTTTATTGAGGATAGATGTGGATGTATATGGGTCTAGAACTTTTAAGGTCGTTTTCCGTAATGGTGTTCACCTATACGCAAATCAGTGTACACATGAGTTAACTGACCGCTGTCTGAACAGGGGTGTCGGGCCCCAGCTCTGACGGCGAACTTATGTCGTTCCGATGTATGGCTACTGGTTTTCGAACGATGGACTCTTTTCAATCGAATTCTGTCAATAGTGTGGAATTGATAAAATCTTGCTTTCACATCACTTTCTAAACTTATACCAATGTTAACAAGCTGATAGTAGATAGCAATAATTGTTAACTCTCCACAAACGAAAACGAAAAGAACGAAAATGTAGATGAGTTCTTAAAATATATGGCTGTGCAAGTGATCGACCATCGATAGTTAATGTTATCGATTGTGGTTTTGAAGTAGATAAATATTGATAAATAATATCGAAGTGCGGCTGCCGGCTTTTGTATTCTGGATAAATCCCAGGCGAAGAAAATGTTCACACAACGCTCCAATTGTTCGGCATTTAAATCTAAACAGTCGATCTTTCAGAACCTAGTTGCTTTGCACCACTCAGAATAGTTTTGAACTTTGAATGCTCCGGTGTTGTCGATTGAGGATAGTCTTCTGGAATTTAGTTGTACGAAAAGGTACAAGTGATTACTATCGTAGTAATCACTTGTACCTTTTCGTACAACTAGGATGTGAAGCGCTAGGATGTGAATGACAAATCCTCTCAAGCTGGGAGAGATATATCTTTTTCTGATAGTGCCATCAATAGTGTGTTATGAATTGAATATGTAAATTGCAAGGGTAAAAGGATAGATGGTTACCACAGCCTAAGCTTCCCCCCATAAATTGACGGATGGGGGGAAATTTGCCTTAGTTACCACTCTAGGCAGGCGGGTTGGTAACCACAGTTTATTTTTAGATGTTATTAGGAAGACGCTTCTGCTCGTCTCCTGGTTTGTTTCCCTCTGTCGTCTCTTTCGACACCCACGGAACGATATGGGATAGTGGATATCCTTACACTGCCACTTCACAATCAGTCATCTCATCAATCTCATAAATGTCACTCGCAAATGGACAAACCGTTGACGGGAAGCACCGTCACATGCGCGGGACTTGGGCCTGGAACCCTGCAGAAGAAGAGCGATTCTAGTATAAAAATCAAAGTTTGTTCGATTATAATACACGAATGTAAATTTCATAATAAAATATTGTTTCTTACTATCTTGCACAGGAGAAGAATTCGTTCCTGAACTACAACGTCTCCTGCATTCTGACTCTACCTCCTTATCAGCGGCAGGGGTACGGAAGGCTGCTTATCGACTTCAGTGAGTATCCGTTATGTTATTTGCCAAATGAGCTCACAGGTCGGCTCCCGCTGCGACTCATGGACACCCATATCTTTCCTCGTTTAAGAATTAGAATCCAAAGTCGTTGTTACCTTTGAGAAAGAATAAGTTAACTATAATATTATTATATCTAAAATGTAAGTCTAAGGTTTCAATTAATTATCTAAATAATAAACCAATTGTTAACTAGGGTAAAGCGAATCCGATACTTTAAATGAGCAAATATTGTATTAAGCTTGTAAGCGGTTTCTCAGATTTAGCTAAAAAGATTTGGGTGAAATTTTGTACTTAGGTAATGTTTTACTTTCAAAGTTTATCTATATAGGTTATACCCACTGACCTCTATATATACAAGATGCCTGAGATTTGTTTTCTAACGTCGAGTAAAGCTCAGTCTCCCAGGTATAACGACTAATTGTAAACTCAATGTTTGGCATTACTCTTTTACGCATCTTTGTTAGATCAGCGCATTCGCTGTGCAACAATTTTTCGAGCATTTTTAATTTGATTGTAGGTAATTAATGATTTGAATTTCGAAAAACAAACAACCTTATTGGCATATTTGAAAGTTGGTTTTAACTGAAACGAAGAAGAATAAGTGCAAACAGGCCAAGTAGCCTTTTGTCGAATATATACAGTAAAACTCGCAACGTATTATGCGATATAGAGAAAATAAAACTTATTTACAAATTTTGTGTAGGTATTGAACTATAGTCATATTTATAAATTTGTTAGAAAGGTATAATATTATACGTAATATGTATTTAAATACGTTACATCATAGTTAATTATTATTTATAATGACATTACTTAAAGTAATCACTTATTTTGGTTTGACAAAGAGATTTTGATGCATTAGTAATGACAAGGCTTTCAATATAACTTAACTTTTGCAGTGCGTCTTCACTTTCCCCGAAAGCGACAAAGAAGTTGCAACAATAGATACATAGCACCTTAAATTTAAAAAAAAACCAGCAGTAAACGGCTGATAATGCCCATGCTTTTAACAAAATCGGAATTGACTGTCCTTCATCTTCATCGTCGTGATTTAGGACCTCTTTTTGGTCTTCACCTTCTTGTTCATCTTCGATTGAACGGGTTTAGTACGGTGGAACATTGTCGTCAATGGAAGAATATCCAGGAAAACCCTGCAGTATTGCGGGTTCTTCTTCCAACACGACTTCAGCTTTGTTACTTCGGAAAATAAAAAAGTTTTCTTGAAATAATTTCGTATGATTTCAGGCTTAATAGCTTGCCATGCCGCTGCAATGTTTAGGATCGCATCATGCACAGTCAAGGATCGTTTACTGTCAGGGTCTTCCATTTATTTAAGATAGCGATGTATCAATCGTGTTCTGTAGCCTTGTTTAAGGACTTTTATAATGCCTGACTTATCGCTTTCAACTTGCTTGTCGTATTCGGAGGTAAGAAAGCAAGTTTGATGTTCTTTAGCTTACAATTTTTAGGGTGAGCGGGGCAGTTATCAATGAAGAGAATTATGTGTGTTACTCGGCCCGGCTCGGGTGTTGCACAGATGACGTGACAATTCGTATAAAGCATGTTAAAAATGTATGAAAACATGCCTCTTGTTGCAAGGACTAACATAAAATGGCGTATTATTAAACGTTTAAACGTGCGAGAAATCTTATTAAACGTGATCGTATTAAGCGAGTTTTACCTTACATAAAATATTTAACTCAACTACCCGGCTGTGCAGACTGGAATTAGTGCTCGACCGACGGTCAGCACGTACCATACGCGCTGACGGCACGTCCTGATCGTCGGTCGAGGCCAAGCGCTTAACTGACGGTAAGCTTTCTTAGGCGTGTACAATTACGAACAAAAAAGTTAATGCATTTGTTAACTCTATAATATGTGCGTACTATTTACTCAAACGATTACGTCATAAAAAACGGAGAAGATATCATGAGCACCCAATAATTGTAGACCGTTTAATTGAAGGTGAATTTTTGTTCATTGTATTCGAAATTGCGAGAACAATATTCGTCTAATGTTCATTTTTGTTTGCGATAATGCGTACGCGCGTAGGGTCGGTCGCTCTGTCAGCGTCGCACTGAACGCACGCATGTACCGCCATAGCGCGTCAGTCAACCGACGTACGTCGGACCGACGAGCTCGACCGACGGTCCTCGTAGTACTACTCGCAGTACTTCATCAGCACTACACTGTAGCCGTTAATAGGTTTTCATTGATATAGCTACGCTCAACCGATGTCAGCGCTCACCGTCGGTCGAGCACTAAATCCAGCCTAATGCCTAACCCCATCCGCCGACCACCGGCGGTCTTATCATTGGTATTCCAGCACAATCCTCTAGAATGTCTATTAATTACATTTTGGTTCATCATTAAAGAACTGCAAGTGTATTAATCGCTGTGATTACTTACCGTTAGATGGATTTTTGTCACAGTTACAGTCAGTATACGTCCCACTGCTGGGTACGGGTTTCTCTTATTTGGTGATAGGGTTATATGACAATAAGTTCGCCGCGCTGCTCCAGCGAGTGTTCGCTACAAATTTAATAGAAATATCTTATTCATTAGTTAGGCAGGTTAATTTATTAACGATAGTGTTAATTACTCAATTAAAATTGGATAAAATCGTAGGTGTTGCTACCTTTGTTGACTGTCATACAATACATGTCAAACTTATAAGTGTTAAACATAATAATCATATGGCATACGTGAAATAAAATCTATTGAAAAACAAGCCATGGTAGAGCCATGCTACAGCTATATTAATAGTATATTTGTAGCACGAATGGGTCGGCTCGACCGAGGAAGGACCACGCTCTCACAGAATACCAACGTAAAATAGCAGCTTAATGCTGCTGTGTTTCGTATGGTTAGTGTAGAGAACCGGAGACCCGTTTTACTGGAAAAGAGGCATTCCATCTTAGTCCTCACGGGTGACAACGCATCTGCATTTTGATTCGCAAACGAGGATAGATGTAGATGTCTATGGGCCACAGCAACCATTTACCATCAGGTGGACTGTGTGCTCGTTTGTCACCCTATCCTATAAAAAAAAAGAAAGCCTTTATAGACGTTGCTATGGCCCAGAATCCAGGTCCATCATCAGATCAGCTTCACGATACCATATTATTGCATTGTCATCGAAGCTACATGAGTATGCTATGCTAACCTTCAGCTCAATCGGATGTCAGCAAGTACTTCAAAAATTGATTACAAATTTTGAACCGAAAAGATACGAAGAAAGTTAAATGAAAGCTTGTAATAATACATTGGCTTCTGAATTGCTGTTTTGAAAGTATTTTTTTTTAATATGATTATCTATACAAATAAATAAACTAGAAGTGTCTGTTTGTAATGTCAAAATAACAGCGTCCATCGTTTAGCATTTAAAAGTATATGCATATATATATATCACGATACATATAACAAAAAGATAATTTATATTATTCTGTCTGTTCCGGATAATCTCTGAAACCGACCGATTTTGACGGGACTTTCACTGGCAGATGGCTGTATGTATGTATATATAAGGAGTGACTTAGGCCCTTTTATTTTAGAATCTTTTCGTAAAGGTTTCCGCGTATAAAATTTAAACCCATGAAATTGTGAACAAAATCCGATTCAAATAAGAAAATATAATAATAAATTACTAATAAAATGTTCTATGCGAATGAAGTCGCGGGCACAGCTAATTAAGATAATAAAAAAAAATAACTGCGCATTTTAAAGGTCGTCTATTAAATTATACTTTAGTACTACGCGTGTGCAAGATGTTGGTTTCGGATTATTGTCTAGACTAGACATTCTGTTCCTGCACAACAAACCCACCCCCGTCCCCCTGGGGGCGGTAAAGTCTTACCTTACGACGTCTACTTTTTCTGCTTATATTAAACTAAGTCTGCGACGTCTAAGAGCAGAAATATTTCCTGGCAGATTATTGAAGCCGCGGATAGCGTGGAGGCTTGGCGCTTAATATATATTTCATAGTACTCGCGCAAGTCGACAATACGGAAATTAAAAATTGTTGATATAATATGAAAGAAAACATCGCGAAGAAGTCGACATATCCGCTTCCTCAAACTCTCCCAGAAATTAGAAGATGTGCTTAGATGTAGGACGTATAGAGACTTTTATTCTACTATTATCCAATTCATTTTAATCCACTTATCATTATTTTTAAGTAATATTGATATTAACCATCATCATCATCGTCCTTATCTATCAGTAATCAGTTGTTCATAAGTCTCTTCAAATTGGGAGAGTTTGTCATTACTGCTTTTTAATAAATACAGATTATAGAATGACACCATGATATCACGAGTAAATGAAGTCGCTCTAAGGACCGTGCGCGAAACTGTGCTACGATTGTATGTGAGTTGTTGGCTGTTTTAAATTATGAACTTGGCAATCGACTTCTAACAAAGGAGTATGCAGATGCGTTGTCGATCTGAGGACTAAGTCCATGTAATGCTTCACAGCAATGAAACGGTTGAAACCTGAACACAGCAATGCATCCAGCTCAGACGGGCTCCTAGCTAGAAAAAAGACCTAAGTGAAATATCCATTCATCCATTACTGTCTATAAAAAGCCCACCGCTGAACAAAAGCCGCCCCCATAGTTTTGCCATAGTTGCCAAGTTAGCAGGCTCAAGATTTTTTATTAGAAAGATGCTGCTGCCCGTCTACTGTTTAAGTTTCCCTCTGTCGCTTCTTACGACATGTACCGGACGATATGGAGTAGTGTATTCTTACACCGCCACTACACGATACAAAATAAAATATATGAACAGTAGTAAAGTTTATGAACTTCATATTATGTCAGTAGGCAGATTACAAATGTGTGCTGGCGGTGTAAAAAATTCAACGTGTCAGTCATTTCGTCCCGTGGGTGTCGTAAGAGTTGACTATTGGATATGTCTGAAGAATTTTATGGTTTCCAACACATGGCTGTGTAACCATCTCGTTTACGCCAGGCGTAATATATC